GATCGTTTGCCTACTATAGAAGAATGGTCGCTTAAAGTGTCAAATTTAGCAGAAATGGCCAAGATTTCCGCTTATGTGAAGGACCATTCACAAGAAAGATATATTTCGGTTTGGAGAAGATGGATAGATTATATCCAGAATAAATATGGGACTAAAAAGTTCCATTTGGTTTTTGAGTAAATTTTAGAGTATTATTATTATTGTTAATATTTTATAATAGTTTATTTTTTCTGTTATGTTTAATTATTACTACGATATTATTATTTGTTCATTATTGTGTTTAATTTTAATTTACTTAAATTTATCTAAAAAGGGAGTTAACGTGCTTTATAGATTTGGTAATTTAATAGTTGGTTAATGTTATTTAGATTATGATTATTATTTGTTAACCCTGTGAATCGCTCTGGGAAGTGGGGGGGAGGGGTGGTTGGGGGTGGGAGGGGGGAAAATATTGTAATCTTCATAAAACTTTTAATAATAATAATAAAAAAGATATGTGGGCTTCAACTCCCGGAATTCCCCAGTCAATAGGGCTAGGGAATTCTGGGAGTTGAAGTCCATACATCTTAAAGCTGCTGAGGTTGCAAAACATTGCTTTAAGGGAATAGATCCATTGCTGGTGCCTCTGCTTTATGCTTTATTCTATTTCCAGAAAGCCTTATCTGCCATCCAGGTTTTTGGCAGATTTATTCATAAGTGATTCCTTTAAGGCAGCTGTCTCCAATCTGAAGAGCTTCAGAGAAGATGTGACTGTAACTATGAGAATTCCCAATCCAAAGAGATAAACCGTCTGGAGCAGGGGTCTTCAAACTTGGCCCTTTTATGACTTGTGGGCTTCAACTCCCAGAATTCCTCAGCCAGGCACGCTGATCTGGAGGGTATCTGGATGGGAAAGGATGGTCTAACTTTTAAAGGCCTCTTACGATGAAATGTTTTACTGCAGAGGTCTCCAACCTTTTGGGCACCAGGGACCGTGTCAACGCTGCAAATACTGTATATTCTTGCTTTGACAATATGCAGAACTGTCTGGTATTTTTATAGTTAAATCAGGCAACAGTGAAAGGGGAGGAGAATAAGGAAAGCCCGGGAAAAAGAAACCGGAAGTAAATCATATCTTCCAACCATGACCCCAAAATAGGGGAGGGAAAAATGCCTGGAATGTAGGTGCAACGGAAAAGAATCTCAGATCTAAGCATTTCCACCATGCCGTACTGACATCTCTGTAACCTTAATAAATGCTTTTAGGATAAAAATATGCCTGAAAGTCCTTTTAAGTGTTTCGTTAATCAGACACATGACAGACCGCTTACATCAGTGGTGTCAAACTCAATTTCATTGAGGGCGGTGTGTGGCCTACTGGGTGGGCGTGGATGGAGTGGGTGTGGCTTATAGGGTGGGCATGGCCAGCTCTACATCGTTCCCGTCAAGGGGGCCTGTGGGGGCCTGGGCAGGAGTGGGACAGATCTGAGGCTCTCTGGCAGAAGGGGGTGGGACCGGGGCAAGCGCCAAGGCATGGTCCATTTCTTCATTCCTCACAAAGGGTGACACTTCCCCAGCAGGCACCCAGGGGGCGGGGGCGACGCAGCAGGGGCTGGTTCCTTGCTGTTTCCGGACAACCTTGTGGAGCTAAGACTGAATGCGTCTCAGCATAGATGGCCACCACAACATTGTACATTGGCTCCCGGCCGGCCAGGGCCAGGGCCAAGGCACCGGGGGCCATTCCCTCACTGTTTCCAGGATGGCTTCGCGGGCCACATGAAACCACTTCGCGGGCCGCATCCGGCTCCCGGGCCTTGTGTTTGACATGTCTGGCTTACATGAAGAGAGTTTTTTCCACGGATCGGAGGGGGCGTGGTTTCGTGTGCTGCCTGCATCCTGTGGATGGGGATGGGGACTGATTGCTGGCATGCCGGGGCCCGGTACTGGTCCACAGACTGGGGTTGGGGACCCCTGTTTTACTGGATCAGATTTAAAATTCTAGATACGAATTGCATCTTCTCCATGGCTAGCCATTCAATTAAACTTTACATTACAACACTAATATGATGCTGATCATAGCAGCAATTGTGTATGTCTAGTTAGTGAAAAAAAGTACTAGGGGTGATAGGATAGCAGGCTTCCAATATCTGAGGGGCTGCCACAAAGAAGAGGGGGGTCAAACTATTCTCCAAAGGACCAGAAGGCAGGACAAGAAGCAACGGATGGAAACTAATCAAGGAGAGAAGCAACCTGGAATTAAGGAGAAACTTCCTAACAGAGAGGACAATTAACCAGTGGAACAGCTTGCCTCCAGAAGTTGTGGGTGCTCCATCATTGGTGGCTTTTAAGAAGAGACTGGACAACTATTTGTCTGGAATGGTGTAGGGCAGTCACCCCCCAACTTTTTGGCCACCAGGGACTACTTCCATGGAGAGACGTTCTTCCACAGACCGCAGGGGGTGCAGTTACATGTGCTGCTTGCATCCCTGGATGGGGTTTCACGTGTTTGGGTGGCCTGGTTTCTGGCATGCTACAGACCGGTGACGGTCCACAGACCTGGGGTTGGGGACCCCCCAGTATAGGGTCTTCTGCTCAAGCAGGGGAATGAACTAGGTCCCTTCCAACTCTGTTATTCTGTATTTCATATTGTTTACCCCCAGCTTCTGGAAATTGGAAAAAAAACCCTGCCTGTAAACATGGCTAATAACTCATGATAGACTCAGCCCTCTAAATAAACCTATTTTATAAGATGATACCCGTATAATCTTTCAGTTCTAATTTTAATTCTAGGCATGGATGGGATGTGACTAAATGTCCTTTTGGAAAAAGCTGGGTTAGCAGCGATATTTATGGTTATCCTATTATACATTTTTCATTTTTCAGATATGCAATGATTGAGGCACGAGGCAAATGCCAGGTGGAAATTTTTCCCTTTTCCCCTTCTCTCTCTTTCAATAAGAATAGAACTAATTATTATTACAATAATTAATTCTGGCAGAAATGTCCATAGACGGCTTCTCAAGGATAAAGAAAATGATAAATTTCTCTTTTTTTGCATTAATACAAACGCACATTAAATAACATTCCTTCCTGTAATCTTAACCGTTAAAAAAGGCAGAAAAAAGTGCAAAGTTACAAGAGTTATAATTTAAGTGTGTAGTGTGGGGTGCCCCAGGGCTCTGTTCTGGGCCCAGTGCTCTTCAACCTCTTCATCAACGATCTGGACGAGGGGATAGATGGGGAAATCATCAAATTTGCAGACGACACCAAGCTGGCAGGAATAGCCAACACTCCAGAACACAGGCTTAGGATACAGGAGGACCTGGACAGACTTGAACACTGGGCGCTATCTAACGAAATGAAATTCAGTGGTGAAAAAAGCAAGGTTCTACATTTAGGCAAGAAAAACCAAATGTACAGGTATAGTATAGGGGGTACCTTGCTCAATAGTAGTAACTGTGAGAGGGACCTCGGAGTCCTAGTGGACAATCCCTTAAACGTGAGCCAGCAGTGTGCTGCAGCTGCCAAAAAGGCCAACACACTGCTAGGCTGCATTAACAGAGGGATAGAATCAAGATCACGTGAAGTGTTAATACCACTTTACAAGGCCTTGGTAAGGCCACACTTGGAATACTGCATCCAGTTTTGGTCACCACGATGTAAAAAAGACGTTGAGACTCTAGAAAGAGTGCAGAGAAGAGCAACAAAGATGATTAGGGGACTGGAGGCTAAAACATAAAAGGAATGGTTGCTGGAATTGGGTATGTCTAGTTTAATGAAGAGAAGGATGAAGGGGGGACATGATAGCCGTGTTCCAATATCTCAGGGGTTACCCCAAAGAAGAGGGAATCAAGCTATTGTCCAAAGCGCCTGAAGGCAGGACAAGAAGCAACGGATGGAAACTAATCAAGGAGAGAAGCAACCTAGAACTAAGGAGAAACTTCCTGACAGTTAGAACAATTAACCACTGAAACAACCTTCCTCCAGAAGTTGTGAATGCTCCAAGACTGGAAGTTTTTCAGAAGAGACTGGACAGCCATCTGTCCGAAATGGTGTAGGGTTTCCTGCCTGAGCAGGGGGTTGGACTCGATGACCTCCAAGGTCCCTTCCAACTTTATTATTATTATTATTATTATTATTATTATTATTATTATTATTATTGTTATTGTTATTGTTATTGTTATTGTTATTGTTATTGTTGTTGTTGTTGTTGTTGTTGTTGTTGTTATTACTAGCTGTACCCGGCCACACGTTGCTGTGGCTCAGTCTGGTTAAATAGAAAAGAAAGAAAAGAGAAAGCGCACGTTTGTGTCACCGGTGTGACATTTATATAATAGTAGGTATATAAAAACACGCGCGTATTCGAATGCAACGTTGTGTCAAAATTTCAAAGCAATCGGTGAAGAACATTCGGAGATTTAAGATTTTGAACAAACGAACATTTACATTTTTATTTATATAGATATAGATTGTTGTTGTTGTTGTTGTTGTTGTTGTTATTATTATTATTATTATTATTATTATTATTATTATTATTATTATTATTATTATTATTATTATTATTAAATGCTAGGGATTTATTTCGCTGTGTCCCGAAATTTTAACTCGAGGCTAGAAAAATATTTTTTTTGCAAGAAAGGTGTATTTCCAAAAATGTGCAGTCCACCCCTCACTCACCTGCGAGCATGGCCGAGAAATTGAATTGATCAGCTGAATTGTTACTGCTCAGGTCATTTTTAAGCGGGTTTGATGTCAGAGGTTGTTTGGTCCTTTTCTTCTGATTGAAAAGAGGAACCGGAAGACAGCCTAAGATTTGAAGTGGCAACATAAAAAACACAATTATTAAATTGCTAATGCTCTTGGTGCAATAATATATACAGGTAGCCCTTGACTTACAACAGCTCATTTAGTGTTCAAAGTTAAATGTCTATGGAGATTCTCAGTTGTCCAGGTCCATGGTTTTCCCAAAGTTGCTTTTTCTGGAGGCAACTGGACTTTCTTGTTTTCCTTTGAAGATGTTTCGCTTCTCATCCCAGAAGCTTCTTCAGCTCTGACTGGAGGGCGGGGAATGGTGTTCAAGAGTGAAGGGACACAGGGCAGAAAACGTCCTGCAGAAAGCACAGCTCCACAACACACAGTCCTTTCAGCAGGTCCAAGAAGGCTCCACACCCATTTGCACCACTCAGGTGACCCTGAGGACACAGGTAAATCTCCAAGTGGCCTCAACGACTCTCTAAAACAGACGTGTCAAACACAAGGCCCAGGGGCCGGATGCGGCCCGCGAAGTGGTTTCACGTGGCCCCCGAAGCCATCCTGGAAACAGTGAGGGAACGGCCTCCGCTGCCTTGGCCCTGGCAATGTTGTGGTGGCCATCTATGCTGAAACGCATTCAGTCTTAGCTCCACAAGGCCGTCTAGAAACAGCGAGGAACCAGCCCCTGCTGTGTGGCCCCGCCCCCTGGGTGCCTGCTGGGGAGGGGTCACCCTTTGTGAGGAATGAAGAAATGGACCATGCCTTGGCGCTTGCCCCGGTCCCACCCCCTTCTGCCAGAGAGCCTCAGATCTGTCCCACTCCTGCCCAGGCCCCCATAGGCACCCTTGACGCGAACGATGTAGAGCTGGCCATGCCCACCCAGTAGGCCACACCCACTCCATCCACACCCACCCAGTAGGCTGCACCCACTCTGGCCACACCCACACGCCCCCCCCCCAGGGCAACTGCAATGCTGATGCGGCCCTCAGTGAAATTGAATTTGACACCCCTGCTCTAAAAGAAGGCAAATGACCAGCTGTCTGCAAGGATATATATAAATCCTCCCACTCCCCACCATCCGGTCAGAATGGAAGAAGCTTCTGGGATGAGAAGTGAAACATTTTCAAAGAAAAACAGCTGCCTCCTGAAAAAGCACCTTTGGTTCAAAGTTATAATGGCACCGAAAAAAGTGACTTATGACCGTTTTTCACACTTATGAACATTGCAGCATCCTCATGTGATCACAATCCAGACGCTTGGCAACTGACTCATATTTATGACGGTTGTACCGCCCCAGGGTCAGGTCATCCCGTTTTGCGACCTTCTGACAAGCAAAGTCCGCGGGGAAGCCAGATTCGCTTAACAACGGCGTTACCAACTGAACAACCGCAGTGATTTCCTTAAGAACGGTGGCAAGCAAGATCGTATAACGCAGTGATTCTCAACCTTTTTAATGCCGCGACTCCAACTGGTCGTAAGTCGTGGACTAAACCGGTCATAAGTCGAGGACTAAACCGGTCGTAAGTCAAGGACTACCCAACCGGTCGTAAGTCGAGGACTTTCCCTGCCTGGGAGCACCGCGCATGCGTGGTTCCGCCCCCTGCGCCGGCCGAGGCGTAGCTGGCAAGTGGCAGAGACGGAGCAGGCCGACCACCAGCTGGCCCAGCCCAAGGGAGGTAAGGCACCCGCCGGAAAAGGGCGAAAAAATGGCGGACAAAAAAAATGGCGGACAAAAAAAATGGCAGACAGCCTTGCTTGGCAACCCCCGTGAAATGGTCGATCGACCCCGATTGGGGTCCCGACCCACAGGTTGAGAACCACTGGTATAACGGGACACAGAATTCATTTAACAGCTGTCTTGCTTGGCAACAGTAATTTTGGGCTCGGCTATGGTCGTAAGTTGAGGACTACCCGTATATTCAGAAGCACACAGCCTGGCATTCCAATATGCAATTTGCTTGAATGTGGCAGTGGTGTGACAGGGACACACTGCAGCTCATTCATCAGAAAGGAGTAGATCCCTGTTTGGAGAACTGCTCCACATTTGGAATCTCGTCCATTCAGGAGATGATGATGATGATGATGATGATGATGATGATGATGATGATGATGATGATGATGATGATGATGATGATGATAATATGGAAGGTACTTTGGAGGTCATCTAGTCCAACCCCCTGTTCAGGCAGGAAACCCTATACTATTTTGGACATTGGGCTGTCCAGTCTCTTCTTAAAAACTTCCAGTGTTGGAGCATTCACTGCTTCTGGAGGCAGGTTGTTCCACTGGTTAATTGTTCTAACTGTCAGGAAGTTTCTCCTTAGTTCTAGGTTGCTTCTCTCCTTGATTAGTTTCCATCCGTTGCTCCTTGTCCTGCCTTCAGGGGCTTTGGAGAATAGCTTGACTCCCTCTTCTTTGGGGCAGCCCCTGAGATACTGGAAGACTGCTATCATGTCCCCCCTTGTCCTTCTCTTCATTAAACTAGACAGACCCAATTCCTGCAACCATTCCTTATATGTTTTAGCCTCCAGTCCCCTAATCATCTTTGTTGCTCTTCTCTGCACTCTTTCTAGAGTCTCAACATCTTTTTTACATCGTGGTGACCAAAACTGGATGCCGTATTCCAAGTGTGGCCTTACCAAGGCCTTGTAAAGTGATATTAACACTTCCAATGATCTTGATTCTCTCCCTCTGTTAATGCAGCCCAGCACTGTGTTGGCTTTTTTGGCAGCTGCAGCATACGGCTGGCTCATATCTAGGGGATTGTCCACTAGGACTCTGAGGTCCCTCTCACGGTTGCTACTATTGAGCAAGGTACCCCCTATACTATACCTGTACATTTGGTTTTTCTTGCCTAAATATAGACACAAAGGATCTGAACGGAACTCTTTGTAGCATCTCATTAAAACCTTTGGTATCTGAACAAATTGATTTGTTTATACGTATCTGCCTAATTTATCATTTCTGTCTGACCTTGACCAAAGATGACTAAAGCCTCCTCGCTCAGTGGAACTCTATACTTCCCATGCTACCAATTCAATAGTATCAGTATTATTAATGTCTACTGAGAAGGTGTCCATTCTGGTTATCATTTTTGCCACCAGGCAAAAATCTCTTTCTTATCTGCCTGGGGCATTTTCAACACCCTCCATAATTACTGTATTCTCATTGCTGATTTACAGTTTGGTCACGTTTTATTAGCGGGTTGTTTGTCCATTTGGGTTTATTACGTTGTTTTATGGCTGATACTGTTGTAGCTGTAATTGTTGTTATTCCCCTCAAGGTATCCTGGGAATTTGTGCTGAAAATCCCTTTCTCCCATCAATCAACCCACACAAAGTGAAGTTGTTTTTAGGGATGGCACAAAGACCGTGATCCCTCGTCTACAAATGTGTCTGATAGTCATTGCACAAGAGAAAAATGAGAGGAGGGGAGAGATAATGGTAGGGTGGAAGAAATGGGGAGGAAAAATCCTCTGTGAATTTTTCATAAAGGTTTGTTATAATGGCTAAGGCTCTCCATTTTTTCCCTTCTGCTTTCCGGCATATTCTAATAACCAAACAGTTATGGTTAGTTTGTCATTAATATTGATCAATGCATGAAATCTACTCAGAAAACACTTGTTATTCCACCCATGAAAAATATGATAAAATAAGAATTGAGCACATCGCTTTTCCGGATTATACAGGCACCCATGTAAGGGGAGTAAATTCTGGTGGGGCATCCCCTAAGAGGTGTGTATGTGTGGGGGAGGGTGTTAAAAAAGGTAAAATGGTGATTGAAGGCCCAGCCCCCTTTGTATGTGTGTTGCAAAGATTAAAAAAAAAGAGTCTGGCTTTTAATAATACAATCACAGCCACCACTTTTTGATGCTCCCCATGGATACCCTGCAATCGGGGAGAGATTTAACACAATTTAAAAACCACGTGCAGCGTGTTTATCAGGACTTCTTCTAGGGAAAATTAAATATGGGAAGAGAAGAATGGGGGAAATACAGGTAATCCTCAACTTACAACTATTCATTTAGTGACCTTTCATAGTTACAATGCCACTGGAAAAAACGGCTTATGACCAATCCTCACAGTTACAACTATCGCAACATCTCCAGGGTCAGGTGATCAAAATTTGGGTGCTTGGCAACGGGCATGTATTTATGGCAGTTGCAGCATCCCATTTGTAACCTTCCCAGCTAGCTTCCAACAAGCAAAGTCAGTGGGGAAGCTGAATTCACTTAAGAACCATGTGATTCACTTAACAACTGCAGTGATTCGCTTAACAACTGCAGTGAACCATTACAGCCGTGGCAAAAAAGATCGTAAAATCAGACAGAAGCAATGAAAATGAATGAAAATTCTGTTCTCAGTTGTGGCAATAAATCCAGGACTATCTGTATTACAGAACTGTCCCCTGACTGAATAGGATGCAACAGGGGAGGTGTCTGATCCCCTTTTGCATGCACTGCAACCTAAAGCCTTTAATAATGTTGCTCACTCCACTCATTTTGCTGGTCATTGGTTGGAAATTATAATAACTCTTTCAAACAAAAAGGATCAGGGGACTGAAGGCTAACACTTACAAAGAACGGTTGCTGGAATTGGGTATTAATGAAAAGAAGGACTGGGGTGACAGGATAGCAGTGTTCCAATATCTCAGGGGTTGCCACAAAGAAGGGGGGGGGGGTCAAGCTATTCTCCAAAGCCCTTGAAGGCAGGACAAGAAGCAACAGATGGAAACTGATCAAGGAGAGATTCAACCTGGAAGTTATGAGAAATTTCCTGACAGTGAGAACAATCAACCAATGGAACAGACTGCCTTCAGATGTTGTTGGTGCTTCATCACTGGAGGCTTTCAAGACGAGACTGGCCTGACATCTATCAGAAATGGTGTAGGGACTCCTGCTTGGGAAGGGGGTTGGACTAGATGACCTACAGGGTCCCTTCCAGCTCTGTTATTCTATTCTATTCTATTCTATTCTATTCTATTCTATTCTATTCTATTCTATTCTATTCTATCAAAGAGAGAAGCAACCTAAAACTAAGGAGAAATTTCCTGACAGTCAGAACAATTAACCAGTGGAACTCCTTGCCTCCAGAAGTTGTGAATACTCCAACACTGGAAGTTCTTAAGAAGAGATTGGACAATCATTTGTCTGAAATGGTATAGGCTTTCCTGCCTGAGCAGGGGGTTGGACTATATGACCTCCAAGGTCCCTTCCAACTCTGTTATTCTGAATTCACCCCAATAAAAGATGGATACCTGCTGTACTACGCATCAAAGAACTGTCAGTGAAATTCCTCTTCATGTTTTTATTTCTGGATAACAGCACCTGAAAAAAAAAACGTAATTGCATTTTAAGTTCCTACTACAGACCTCTCCTGCACACATTGAGTTGCCATTATCTAAAAATACAGAATCTAGGATTATTTAATCATGCAATCCTATTCTGCTCTCAATAATATTGTGAGAATAAAGCGATTCTAGATATTTCAGTGGGAAACTAATGGCAGTTGCCACCAAATTAAGACTTTTTGATTTGTTTCTTTAGATTTCTTCCAATCTGCACCCTCTTGTCAACTTTTGGAGCACCAAAGACATGAAAATATTCTGCAATATGCTGTAGGAAAAGCTCATAGCCCTTTTTAAATGCTTTGATTTTTATTTTTATTTTTTTTACCTTTTTATTAGTTTAATTAATAATTTAGTGGTTACATTATATTGTTTTGCTAGTACAGTTGTACAAAACTATTTTTGTCTGTTCACAACATAAACATAATGGCTTTTTTTTTAAAACAACATGATTAGTTTTCATAGCAAGAGTGGGGCTTTTATGTGATCAATAATTTCAATATTAAAGTGTTCTTCTCCTAAAAGAAAACGGGTGGGGAGAAGAAATCTGCAGGTCTCTAGAGCCTAAAATACTGTAGATACTCTTCTGGAAAAAAAGGCAAACATTTTCCATTTAGAGAACTTAAAATTAAAACATTGTTTTAAATGGGTGGTATTACCTCTTTGAACAGTGCTGAAGTACATGTGATTAAACATTTTTTTTAAAAAAAGCTGTTATTACAGAATGAAGTTATATTTATTTTGCTATAAAATATATTATATATATATATATAATTTCAATATCTTAGCTTAATATACATCATATGCATACATACATATATAATATGCAGTTTATATATGCATATAAAATATATATAATTGCAGTTTTATATAACTATGGGGTAAGCTACTCAAAAGACACTAAAATAACAGATATTAGATCGCTGATAATGATAATGAGAGATAATAGATAATGATAGTAATGAGGAACAGGTAATTTAATAGATAATAAAAGACAATGAACGATGGATGATATATAGATAAAAGATCAAGATAGGTGATTGATCATTGTTAATGATCAATGATAGAGTCACTCTAAGAGTAAGATTGGCGGTAACTAAATTTGACAAATAAATAAATAAAAATAAAATATATAATGATAAACAAATAATGGTAAAAATAATGAGAGATGGATATAAAGATGGATGGATGGATGGATGGATGGATGACAGACAGACAGACAGACAGACAGACAGATAATAGCTAGTTATGATAGATTTTTATTTATTTTATTTATCAAGTTTAAAATGATTGAGAAATGAGAAATAATAGATAGATAGATAGATAGATAGATAGATAGATAGATAGATAGATAGATAGATAGATGATAGAAGATAGATTGTGTTATACTTTTTATTTTATTTATCAAATTTTGAAACTGCCAATCTCCCTCACAAAAGGGCTCTGTAGTTACTATGGATAGACAGACGCACAGACAGAATTGTATTTTAACAAAAGCTGTAAACCTAGTCCCCATGATTTATAAGCCACAATTGTTGGCTTTGCAGCCTGAACCCCAGTCCTGGTTTCCTTGTCCAACCATGGTTAATCAACACCAGAGATGGAAGCCTCTGGTTCAGGTACATGTAAAAATGGTGGAAAGAGCCACAAATTGTCACAGCTTAGAGTTTGGAGGGAGAAATGTCAAGAAAACTCTGACCCTTTATCGATTTAAGGACAATTTTAGCTTTCTTGACTGCCTGTCTCTTTGGTTCAGATCCTGTCAAGCTCTCCTCACACGGGCTTATCTGAAATAATCCCAATAATGTTTCTGTTTTGCTTCTGAAAATAAAAAGGGTTGAGGCAGGTGACAGGCTTTCCTTTCCTTTCTGAGAGGAAAGTCTAAATCTGAACTGATCAGAAGGAAGACGAAGGGGGGTCCAGGAGGGAAAGGAGCCAAGATGGATGGCGGGGAAGGAGGGAAAATGGCGGGAAAATGGTGCCGCTGGGGGGGGGGAAGATACGCAAATATTTTTCACTCTTTTTCTATCTTCCGAGTTTGGTGCGCCACCCAGAGTTCACAGGAGTCAGACGGCCAATAAATTTAAATAAATAAATGTTGTTGATGATGGTGGTGATGGTGATGTTGATGAAACCGTCCTGGGGACATGAGGGGCCTCAAGGCAGGAATGGTGGGATTGGTGGGGTGAGGAAGAAGAAGAAAGAAAAAATGAGGAAGGACTCCTGTTTCCTCAGGCTCTGGGAGGAAGAAGCTACTGAGGAGTAAAATGGCAGAGGGGGAGGAGGAAGAAGAGAAAGAGAGAAAAGAGAGAGAGAGAGAGAAAAGAGAAAGAAAGAAAGAAAGAAAGAAAGAAAGAAAGAAAGAAGGAAAGAAAGAAAGAAAGAAGGAAAGAAAGAAAGAAAAAACGAAGGAAGGAAGGAAGGAAGGAAGGAAGGAAAAGGAAGGAAGGAAGGAAGGAAGGAAGGAAGGAAGGAAGGAAGGAAGGAAGGAAGGAAGGAAGTATAGTATAGGGGGTACCTCGCTCAATAGTAGTAACTGTGAGAGGGATCTCGGAGTCCTAGTGGACAATCACTTAGATATGAGCCAGCCGTGTGCTGCAGCTGCCAAAAAGGCCAACACAGTGCTGGGCTGCATTAACAGAGGGAGAGAATCAAGATCACGTGAAGTGTTAATACCACTTTACAATGCCTTGGTAAGGACACACTTGGGATACTGCATCCAGTTTTGGTCACCACGATGTAAAAAAAGATGTTGAGACTCTAGAAAGAGTGCAGAGAAGAGCAATAATGAGGATCAGGGGACTGGAGGCTAAAACATATAAGGAATGGTTGCTGGAATTGGGTATGTCTAGTTTAATGAAGAGAAGGACGAGGGGGGATATGATAGCAGCGTTCCAGTATCTCAGGGGCTGCCCCAAAGAAGAGGGAGTCAAGCTGTTCTCCAAAGCGCCTGAAGGCAGGACAAGAAGCAACGGGTGGAAACTAACCAAAGAGAGAAGCTACCTAGAACTAAGGAGAAACTTCCTGACAGAACAATTAACCAGTGGAACAACCTGCCTCCAGAAGCGGTGAATGCGCCAATGCTGGAAGTTTTTAAGAAGAGACTGGACAGCCATTTGTCTGAAATGGTGTAGTAGGGTTGAACAGGGGGTTGGAGTAGATGATCTCCAAGGTCCCTTCCAACTTTATTATTATTATTATTAAGGAAGGAAGGAAGGAAGGAAGAAAAAACAGGAAGGAAGGAAGGATGAAGGAAGGAAGGAGAAAGAAAGAAAGAAAGAAAGAAAGAAAGAGAAAGAAAGAGAAAACAGGAAGGAAGGAAAGAAGGAAGGAAGGAAGGAAAGGAAGGATCAAAACAAGGAAGGAAGGAGAAAGAAAGGAAGGAAGGAAGGAAACAAGGAAGGAAGGAGAAAAAGAAACAAAGAAAGAAAGAGAAGAGGGAGGGAGGGAGGGAGGGAGGAAGGAAAGAGAAAGAAAGAAAGAAAGAAAGAAAGAAAGAGAAAACAGGAAGGAAGGAAAGGAGGAAGGAAAGAAAGGAAGGAAGGAAACAAGGAAGGAAAGAGAAAGAAAGAAAGAAAGAAAGAAAGAAAGAAGGAAAGAAAGAAAGAAAGAGAAAAAAAGAAAAAGAAAACAGGAAGGAAACAAGGAAGAAAGAAAGAAAGAAAGAAAGAAAGAGGAGGGAGGGAGTAAGGAAAGAAAGAAAAAGAAAGAAAAAGAAAACAGGAAGGAAGGAAAAAGAAAGAAGGAAGATAGAAGAAAGAAAGAGAAAGGGAAAGGGAAAGGAAAAAGGAAGGAAAGGAAGGAAAGAAGGATGAAGAAGGAAGAAGGAAGGGAAGAAAATAAAAGAACTGCAAAGGAAGAAAAACAATGGCGTCAACGTGGGCCAAAGGTGGCCCCGTAATCTCAGCTTGTTTGCTTTGGGCCCCCAGAGATGATTCGCCAAGGAGGATGGTGGCGAAAGGAACTCCAGAGGGGACTGTCCCAGCAATGTGGACACTAAGCAGGACACCAATTGAAGGGAACTCTGTGCCACAAGAATGCTTATTTGGGTTTGAATCCAGGCATTCTGGTTTGCACATCCTGGCTTACGCTTGGCAGACTGAGTGATAAACTGTGATGATGTCATATGGGTGACGTCATAACAGACAACAGGATTCAGCTCATGTTCACTTTTCTTTTTTTTTTTAACATTCACGTCATGTGACCATTAATGTCACAACTATGGTCTCAGCATAGTTCAGGCAGGGTTAAACAAACCACCAATACTGCTCAACTTACAACTTTTCGTTTAGTGACCGTTCAAAGTCACAACAGCACTGAAAAAAGTGACTCAGGTCTGTTTTTCATACTTACGACCGTTGCTGTGTCCCCTTATATGATCCCCTTTTGTGACCTCCTGACAAGCAAAGTCAATGGGGCAGCCAGATTCACTTAACAACCATGTTATTAACTCAACAACTGCAGTGATTCACTTAACAACTTAGGCAAGAAAGGTTGTAAAATGGGACAAAAGTCACTTAACAAATGTCTCACATAGCGACAGAAACTTTGGCTCTGTTATGGTCGTAAGTCAAGGACTACCTGTATTCTTAAAACGAGAGGCAATTTTTTTTCTAGGAGTGCTAAAACACAAAAGAAACAAACCTCTTAGTCCTACTTTTGCCCATCAGTGAATTTGGCAATAACAAGGATATATTTCAATACATTCTGCATTGTGCTTCTAGCAATATTTTGTCACTGGGCGAAAGTTTGCACTTGCACCGTCGCCCCAGTCCAGGGGTAGGCAAACCTTGGCTCTTTTATGACTCGTGGGCTTCAACTCCCAGAATTCCTGAGCCAGCATGGCTCAGCTTGGAAACCTCTCCCTTTCCTCTTAGCATGGCTGGCTCAGGAATTCTGGGAGTTGAAGTCCACGAGTCATAAAAGAGCCAAGGTTGCCTACCCCTGCCCCAGTCC